GTCCATTCGAATTGCCACCTTCTGCTGATTTTAAATACCATTCAAATGCCTTCTTTTCATCCTTAATAGTACCTATTCCATTTTCATAGCAGAATCCAAGCTTATTTTGTGCAAGGGAATTACCATCTTCTGCTGATTTTAAATATAACTCAAATTTATTATTATCATCATTCATAGTAAATTTGAAATTTGCAACCTTTAATTGGATAAATATTTGTCGTATAAATTGTTTTTTTTTTTTTTTTATTTAGATACAGATGTAACGTTGCATACCCGTGATTTTTTTATCTTGTGAATTGATTAATTCATTATTATTGGTAATAGGCTAACATGTGTTATCATCTAATAAGATTTGGCGAAAGCTACGTAACAACAAAATTGGTCTACGAAAATAGTGCAGATAATATAGTGTTACCTGGGAAAACGTGACTAGGTCTTCGATAACACTCACGTGGATAAGCTGCAACTGCATCGAAAAGTATCACAAAATACGATATTTATTTTGGGCTACGCTAGCGGGTCACTGAGGCCAAGGTAAATTTATTAACGTTAATATAAACTATTAATACAATCGACCAGTGTGGTACATTATAAGAAGTACTGAAAATTGATCAAAATGACAATAACATCCCGAAAATTTAACATTGGGAGTCAGCTAGGATTGGCGGTTTCTCGCCTACTGAAGCAAACTAGCTGCGTGTAGAGAATGACAAAATACTGAAATACCACCTTGAAGTGAGCTGAGTGGGTTGCGATATTAATTTTTTGCGTCTCAGGCACCAAGAGAAGAGACCTTGTAAGCATGGCATATTTCATAGTACTTTTATGAATTTGCTTATTTAATAGCATTCGAAAAATATTTTATTTCATCAAGGAGAACCAAAGATAACAGATTTTGGACTATCAAAACAGATAAATGAGACATCTATGAATTCAAACTCGATTATTTACGGATATTTAGAATTTTAATGTCTTATTAAGAAAGGATAAGAGATCGGATATCTATAGCTTTGGCGTAATTCTCTAGGAAATCTTTAGTGGAAGCCTGTCATTTCAAGCTTTTGATTCAAAGATGGAGTTCAGTTTTCACATATTTAAAGGAAATAGAGAGGAGCCTATAGAAGGCATGCCACAAAACTATGTTGAATTTTACAAGCAACGTTGGGACAAGGAGCCTGCTAATAGTCCCGAAGCAAAGTTATTCTCAATATTTTAGATCAACTCATCGTTAGTGAAGAACTTATTGCCAGTGAAGATTTAAGTCGGTCTATCGCTAATGAATATCAATTAAAAATGATGAAACTTCTTCCTTAAATCAGTACATTCGAATTCACTTGAAATTAATGAACCATTACCACTTTATTTATCTAATAATATTGACTTAGTGGGCGCGCAAGACGATAATAAACTTAATAATAAGAGAAAGGAAGCACACGAATGTTTTAATGAAGGAGATATTTCAGAATTTTAGAACTTTATGAAGGAATTCTCAACAACAACCAGAATAATGCTAAAGATCTGAAAAATGCTTCAGACTGGAATCTTTCTTTCGAAAAACTTGATTCTGGAAAAATAAATGAATTAATAAAAGTACTTTACAAGAACACCATCCTGGCTTCTTTGAATAACCAACTTGGATTAAAAGGAGTAAAAGCATTAGAAAATGTGCTTTGTAAGAACATCACTCTGACATCTTAGAATCTTTTTATAATCAACTTGGGGTGTTCTCAAGCGTCAATCGTGGTGTGATTCAGTGATGGTAAATGACTTGAAATGACCCAAATGACTCAATTACAAATGACTAGTCATTGGTCATTTCAAAACACAAATGACCTAAGAAGGTCATTTAACTCTGTTAATTGATAATATAATGCTGTTTAGCCAATTAAAATTAATTGATTATTAGACAAAATTAATTTTTATAAAATATGACCGATAATCGTAGCTACATATAAAAGTCAAAAATTTACTAAACTAATCGATAATTTCGTCTTAAGTAAGTTGTTCAAGAACAAATTGCAAATAATCTGAAAATCATATGTAAGTGACCTAAATGACCTAATGACCTGGTCATTATTTGATGACTAGAGGTCATTTAAATTTTGATCAAATGACCAGGTCATTTGCCATCCCTGGTGATTAGCTAGTGTTACTATTGTAGATTGGGAGAGTAGATATCGTTGCATGGTTTAGCTCCAATAGTTAGCGTGGTTGGGACGCGATGACATCTCACTTAACCAGGTGGGATTTAAGCATTAATGATAGTTGGGAATAAAAGAAAGGCAGATCATTGTTTTATGTTACTTTATCAAGAAGGAAGTTAGTTCCTCTCTTTATTAAAATGAGACAGCCTGTGCTTTTACACATTTTACGAACTTAAGAGATCTGACCTGTTAGAGGCTTCGTGCTATCACTTTAGCCTCACACAGCCTTTACACAAACTAAGACTCTAACACTAGTGATCGCAATAATGCTCAAGCATAAATATAGCAAAGTAAAATTTTAGCTAAAATTTTAATATGCAAATTATGTTATAATTGAAGTTTTCTCAAGCATCGCCCTCTATGCCATTTGTTAGTAATCGTAATTCTGCTCATTTACTACAACCGATTTAAATAGAAATTGCAATCAATGCTTGAGCAGTTTTTATTGATCGCTATTATTTATCAATGTCATCGTCAAAAAATAAAATAAAAAAAAAAAAAAACGAAAAATAAAAATAAAAAAGTAATCCAAGAAAAAATTGATACTCAAACACAACCAAAGAAGCATCAACTTTAAATGTTCCTATTACTCCATTTACCGATTTTATCAACTTTAATGTTATTTCAACTATCTCCATTTTTTTGAATCCATTATCATTAAATAAAGCTGCCGCTGAATATAAAGAAATACATTTTTTTTATATAATAAATTTATATATAAGGCAATTACTATTTGTACACACACGTATGATAAATATCTCAAACTTTTGCCTAAGAAACTACCTTTGAGGTTCAATAAAAAAAAAAATTCCTTGCCAAATTTTGGTATATATATACCTATATTTCGCTTTAAGTGTGACACTCCAAATAAGGAGATCCCATAACTTATAACCAATCGGAATTTAAAACATTGAGGCGTAAAAAAAAAAATGGGTTCTCTCTCAAAATTAGTGCAGAAAGGAGATTTAAGTTCATTACGCGCCTATTTTAGCACACTTTCGCTCGATGAATCGCGTAAAGTAATAAATTCACCCGATATTCATAATGATACTTTAGTACATTTTGCAGCACGTTTTCATAAACTTGATATATTATCTTTTCTTGTACAAGATATGGGTGGCAATTCCATGGCTGTGAATGAACATGGTAAAAACCTATACATGTTTATTTCTTCATAAAAGTAATGTAAATATCTTTGTATGATATGAACCTTTTAAAAATAGGACGTCAGCCGTTACACGAAGCTATCGATAGTTTAGATTGTGTAAAATGGTTATGTGAGCAAAATGTAGATGTCAATTGTATGAAACGAGGAGATTGGACACCATTAATGATCGCAGGTGAATATTTCGATAATTAACTAACAAAAAAAAAAAAAACGTCAGGCGATCTTTGATTAACGACAAATCAAAATGGAAAACTGAATTAGCAATGAAAGGGAGACTTGATATTGTAAAAGTTCTTGTCGATCATGGCGCCAATATAAACTTTCAGAATAAAGACGGGTGGAATAGCCTTCATTTTGCTGCGAAAGAAGGTAATTTAAATAATAAAATTTTTTAAAGTTACAAAATTTTATTAACCTATATATTATTATTTAAAATAAGGTCACCTTGATACAGTAATATTTTTACACACAATTTCACCAACACAAAGTTTAATGCCAAGTAAATCAGGTCGTTTACCAATTCACACAGCAGCATTATGTAACCATCCCATGATAGTTTTTTACTTACTCTCATCAACTTCATCACAAAAAAATTTACAATATTTATTGTCATCGGTTGACAACAGTGGAACTTCTTTATTACAAAATGCAGTAGTTTCTGGAAATATTATGATGGTCAAAAAACTAATTCAAGAATATTGTTGCTCTATAACACATAAAGACAAATTAGGAAGACAAACTATACATAATGCGTCGATGACTGGAGATCTAGATATGATTAAAGTATTAGTTGAAGCAGAAAGCGATGTGAACGCTAAAGATGAATGGGATGGTTGGACACCTTTACATCATGCTTGTAAAGAAGGACATTTACATGTTGTAAAGTATTTGGTGAATGAATGTAGTGTCGATGTAACTATCA